TAGAAGGTCAAAGAAGGTTTCAATATGGACTGAAGCTCAACATCAGAAAACATTCTCAACACTGGGCCAATTGGCAGCATAATGAAAGGATGGAGAAGAGATTGAGATTGTTGATAACTTCAGCTTGCTTAGTTCCACAATAAACTCTTGGCACCAGCTGTCAGGAAATCAAAAGAAGAATGGCAATGGCAAAATCCGCTGTCAGGGACCTCTCTAGAACACTGAAGAGCAACAATGTCAGTCTGGAGGATAACATTAATCAATGGGATTAAATTCCTGTGAGTATCAAAAAGTTTCTCTAATAGGTTGAAAAGAAAACCTGCTGATTGGGGGGGGGGGGGGGAGAAACAACCCCAAACATTTGGCAATGCCATTTCATACAAGGATCTCACAGTGAGAGTGTATAGAATCCTACAGGGCCTCCACAAGAAAAAAAGGCGAATAACCAATTACAAAATGAGCAAAAGACATGGAAAGACTTTTCACAGAGGACATTTGGATGGCCAAAAGACACATGAAGAAATGCTCAAAATCACTGGTACTGAGAGAGATGCAAATGAAAACCACAATGAGATACCATCTCACCCCAGTAGATGAAGCAAAGTTAAACAGCAGAGCAAGCAATAAATGTTAGAGAGGACAGAGAGAGACTGGAACTCTCATATACTGTTGGTGGGACCGTAAAATGGTACCACCAGTCTGGAAGGCAGTTTGGCATTTCCTCAAAAAGCTGAACACAGAAATTCCATATGACTCAAGTATTCCACTGCTTGGAATATGCCCCAAGGAAAACAGAACAGAAACACAAATGGAAATCTGTACACCAATGTTCATAGTAGCGTTATTCTCAAGAGCAAGAAAATGGAAACAGCCTAATGTCCATTAACAAACGAATGGCTTGAGAAAGTGTGGTACAATTACACAATGGAATACAATGCAGCAGTCTGGAGAAACGATTTTGAAAAATACTATAACACAGGAAAGGCTAAAGACCATTATGCTGAGTGAACTAACTCAGTCACATAAGGATAAATACTGCTTAAGACCATTTTGTAAAAATAGAAGGGTAACCAAATAGATGTGTATAAAAGTCCAAAGGGAAAAGTGGAGGGGAAAGGGGGTTAAGGGGAGAGTGAAATTACAAGGTTGCAGACCTTGGTGGGCAAAGGGAGGGGGTGAAGGAATTAGGAAAGATCTAGTGAGGACCTGAAAAGGCAAGGTAAAAATGGGCATAGATCAATGGTCATTAATTATCTGAAACACAATGTATGGGAATGATCATATATGAAACAATGTGAATGAAGGGAAGTGTGAAACACAGTATATATGGATGAAATACAACATATACAAATTTTGCATGCAAATCAATAGAAAATAAAAAAAGAAAAATACCAAAAAGTTAAATGAAGTGCTCCCAATTTTGAATGATACAGATCTTCGGGAATGCCAGAAATCCCATGAGAAACTGCACAGTCATCAGATCCTTTAAGGTCGTCATTTCTTAAGTAAATTTTTCTACCAAGAGATATTCTAGGATGTTTTTCACTGTCATGATCTCACAATAAAATATGCCAGCAAACCTGGCATAATTAGCAAAAAACATTAATTGCTGTAAAACAGAAATTGTTACTTCCGTTTCTAGGCAACTTCACCAATTCTGCAAAGTTGTATTTGATAAAGAAATTATATAAAGTCATTAATGGAAAAAAAGAAAGATAGAACAGGATATTATTAAATATTGGCTCCCTTATAAAATAAAATGAAATGACTTAATTTCCAGTTATAATCTAGAAAATTCTTCCCAAAGTCCAAGATGACAAGGGTTAAACTTTGATATAGTTGTTGAAAAGCCTGTGGTTTGGGAACTGGGTGATCAGGAGCAAATCTTTTCAACAAATGCAAGCTACACTTCACTTTTTGAGGAATAAAGACGTATGAGGAATAAAGATGTATATATGTACATGTTTAGAAAGCACCTGTTGGCAAAAATAGCTTCCATATTGACTTAATGTGCTCCACACTTAAAATATACACAGACTACATTCAATGAAATTTCCCACACCTTAAGGAAATTTTTAACAGATACTCTTTTGAGCTATCTCAATGAGGTATCATATTTTGCTAATACTAGATTCTATTGCTCTTTTTATATTTAATTAGTAGTTATCAACGCTATCAGATAACAATGAGAAATATTTTATATATAAATTACTGTACAGAAAAGAAATTCCTAAGTAAATATATGGGCAACACAGGAAGACAAAGTAAAGTAGTATAATGAAATGTGCAAAGACCTGGAGTTGGAAAATCAAAAGGGATGAACTCACTCATCATTTCTTAAGCTGAAGGAACTGAAGAACATTGGAACTGGCCCATAGTTGTCCCTCCCATGGGTTTTCAGAGGCAGTTAATCTCATGAGAGGAGGCCGTTTCTTGCCACTAGGCCACCAGAGCTCCCCATCTTGCCCTTATTGTTCCAAATGTAATCAAACACAACTCCAATTATTCTTTTCTTTTCAACAAAGGGAGTAAACAGCCTCAACTAAGGTGGATTGTCTCTCCCCTCCCTAGAAGACCACCCACCTGGCTAAAGGACAGTGGAATGTCCCTCTCTAAAGACCCTTACTATAAAGCCTGCCCTAATCCACTTCAGGTATTAATAAAACTTCTTTAGCTTCCTTTCGAAAACAAAAACAAACAAAAAAATCTATTAGCCCAGACAAAGGCCAATTTGATTTTGTTTTCCTTAGAAGCATTTGGCTACTAACTGAAAAGAAGTTCAAACCTACAGAAGATCTATAGGAGAAAAGACCTGGCAATTTGCTCCTATAAAGAATACAGCTTAGGAAGGCCTAAGCAGCAATTTTAGTCACACACGGTTGCTATGTGTTGAAACTGATACAACAGCACCTAGCTTCTGGAACAATATTCCCATCATGGAGTCTCCTGAGTGGTGTAAATGCTGGAGTGGTACTGGTAAATTCAGAATTCTCTATGTATCAGTTATGGAACTATAGTTATAAAACTGGCATCAGTTTTCTCCAGCCTGAAAAGCTAATTGCTTGTCCTTTCTTCAATCTATTTAGCAGAACAAGAGATCCTAGATCTCCTAGATTAGCTGTTACCTCTTTAAAGCTGTTTTTCCCAATCATATGTAAATTGTAACTTAATCTGCCTATTTGCCAGGAAAGGGATTACCTGGGTGTGAATGGTGGTGACCTCTCTCAGTCAAGGAGGCAGTCTTTGAGGCCAATCCGTTGCCCTCCACAGATCTGTTAATAAAGTGCTTATGGATATTGCAATCCGTTTGTCTTATTGGTAATTGACTAGGAAAAGAACCCCTAGCATTCAGTAACATAAACAGTAAGTACTAAACTGATAAAAGGTCATAGGAGTCCATTTAGAGGAACTTCAGAAAAAAAACTGGCAATTTTAAAAACAACAACAACAACAAAAAAAACCAACCACCACACTGCAAGTCCTCTGAAGCACACACAGTTCACAGGTGGTCAGATGAATTAGAAACAACTCAACAGTTACTGGCTCAGGTTTTCTTGTTTTTCCAATTATGCAAATAGCTGCCAATTACTGTGTATCACCAAAAGCAAAAAAAAAAAAAATTATCCAAGGAACATTTCCTCAAAGGCGGCCCCATTTCGAGCAGTTCTGACTCATAGATCCATTCAAGAGGCTGCAAATCTTTACACAAGTTAACGGTCCATCTTTCTCCCACGGAGCAAGGGGCTAGTGAATTCGAAGCACTTGCCTTCTGGTTGGCAGAACAACTCTTTATCCACTAGGCCACCAGCGCTCCCTAAATTTCCCACTGTTGTAGTTGTGTACCTTAAAGCCGTAACCAACCCATAGCTGACCCTCTGGTGGGTTTTCAGAGGCTGATAACCAAGAGAGGAGATTGCCCAACAGGATTGCAGCTCAGCCTCTTGCCATTAGACCACCAGAGCTTCTCCTAAACTTCCCATAGTAGGTTAGAAATCCTTTCACTATTTCCAAAACTCTTTCCTCTTCGCGTCCGTGGCACTGAAGAATCTTGTATTTTCCCAATGTGTTTGTCTCCCCTCCTCCCTCAAACTAATGGGTGAAAACAGGGGCTATCAATGAAAATACAGTATCCAGCAGAGCTAGTCAAGTATTTCCATACAACTTTCAACTGAACTCCAAAGAACGTGTTCTTTCAACATGTCCACCGCCAACTTCCCAATTCATTTTTAACACTCCTTTCCAGAATGGTAACGGGCAGGCCACTGCACAGATGCTTGATGCATTGGAAATGGTTTTAAATAGTGATAGGACCAAATTCGCAACTTCAAGATCACAGTGATTATAGGGTGGAGAGAAGGAGAAAAGAGGGTGGAGGAAAATCTGTTAGTTCTGGAAGAAACGGCATTCTATTCTCTAAGGTGTTCTCTGCTGCCACATTTCCCAGCACTCTCCACACCTTCATATGTAAAGCGGCACATTGTTGCGAAACCCCGGACCCAGGTGCCCTTCTTAAGACCCGTTTGCTTATTCCTCCTACTGTGAAAACCCGAAACTCCCAAAGATTCTCCACTCAGCGCAGCCATACCCGAGGTCGCACACGGGCCGGGTCAATGGTTCTTTTGGAGGACCAAGAGCAGTGGGTATCTAAGGAAAAGAGCGTCAAGAAAGTGGGTAGAGTGAAAAGGAAGAGCAAGTCTGAAACGTCACGCCGGGCCAGGGAATCAGGGACAGGGAACAAAGTATTAGGAACAAGGTTTACCGATAAGAATCCTCGGACACCTACACCCCTTCCCTCGTTACCTTAACTACCGGCTGAAAAGAACACGCCAACTGCGCGACGACAAACACGCCTTATGTCTGCGACTGACTCAATTTATTAGCTAACGTCACCCAGGTTGACCAGCAGACTGGCCGATCAAATTGAAGATCCTTCCTCTTTGCGCAGATCTGATTGGCCTAGAGTCCCGGAACAGGCGGTAATCCAGTTAGAGAGTAGCAAGATGGTTTCCTTGGATCGGGTGAAGGTGCTGGTGTTGGGGGACTCAGGTGAGTGGCTCGGATCCACCTCTGGGACTTCTGACACCTTTGAGTTGCCTGTTAACTCCTCCTCTTCACTAGTTATTTCCCAGCTTCCTCCATCTTTCAGCTTATGGATGAAGTTGTTCTCAAAAGTCAAAGACTACATTTCCCAGTAGACCTTGCTCCTGTGCCTTAGTTGGAGGTCTCTCCCAGGAGGAGGCTCAGAGTCCTGGACCTTCTCAGGCTGTCGCCCTGGTTACCCTCGCCAGTAGAGTATTTTCAAATTTTATTTTAAAAAATATCCAGACTCTTAAATGTTCTGCTTTGCATATACAGTATTGACTCTTGTACTCCTGAAAGCATTCCTATTAAAGACAAGAAAAGTAAGGCAGAACCATATTAATGGCAGAACTGTTTTGAACCCCAGAGTACATTTTCTTAGCAAGCTGTATTTTGAAGTGAAATTTCGGGTAGTTTTTCTCTTTGATTCCTTAGCCTTACTTTTTCCTTTTTAAAACCTGCTGTGTATTAAGTTGTGAATGATAGAAAAATTAATATTTAAAAACCTTTCTGAAGAGGCTATAACATAGTTGTGAGCCCTTTATAATCCTAGATTTTAAAACTATTGAGGAACTAGAATTAGCTCTTCTATGACTCCTTGCCCCTTACTCCTTCAAGAACTGCAAAAAACAACCCATAAAAAGAACCAAAAAAAACCCCCCAAAAAACAACCACCCAGCTAGCCTTCTGTTTCCTAGATGCGCTTTTCTCGAGTTGAACTTCTGTGTGCGCACAGTGAGCAAATACTCTACGAAATAGTTGGAAGTGGAGATGGCATGCATACCTCAAAGCGCTTAAAAACTAGCCTTACAGAAACTATATAAAATTGGCGGTAATGTTATGTGCCATCAAATTGGAATCAGCTCACTGTTGATCCTCCAGCTGTTTTCCAGAGGCTCTAAATCTCAAGGGCAGAGATTGTCCATCTTTTTTCTTGAGGAGTATCTAGTGAATTTGATCTACATGCATTTAGGTTGGTAGCACAACTCCTTAGCCCTGAGCCACCAGAGTTCCCAAAATTGGCTGGGTTTGGGGACAGTTTTCACATTGTCTGAAGATTGTTTGCATTAGAAAGCTGCATTATGAAGTTGTGTGAGAATAATCAAATTTATGTCAACTTCAGTTTTTCACATATTTTGAAGTAATACTGAAGTTAATTTAATAGAATGGCTTTGTTTTTACAGATGAATAAAGTAATGACTTGAAAAGATTTGGCAAGTGCATTACCAAATAGAATTTAGGACTGAAATCCAGGGCTATTGACAAATAGCTATTGGAAAATATACATCTAACAAAGGTTTCCTATTAATTTGTATTGAAACGGATAGATTCATTGGTTTTTAATATTAAAGTGTCAGCTGCTTATTAGGTGCTAGGTATTAGGTGTTATGGTTTTAACCTCGGAATCAATGAATTGCAAATGGGCAAACATATGCTGTATAAAATGTGGATAAGTAATCGGGCAATTGATATGCTTTCCCTATTAAGCTAAAAAATAAGACTTTGACTAGTCCATCAGGAAATTGAGCTTGTCACACATTCATTTATGTTAAACTACATGTACAAAAGAGCTCTGAGCTCCTAGTGGCGGGAAGCTGCACTGCAATCCCAAAGTCACATTTGAGGCCACCAGCTGGGAGGAGGATGGGCAGTCTCCTCCCATGCAATTAAGTGCCTCTGAAAACTCACCAGAAAGAAGGTCAATGAAAGAGTTTTTTCTTTTCAAGAAGAGTGAATTGGGGAGGTGGGGGGTGGGTAGGGAGAAAAGTGCAGCAATGAATTACTAGAAACCCTGAGTCTGTAAACTTTCATTAAAATTAATTTTTAAAAATTAATTAATTTAAATTAGTTAAAATTAATTTTTAAAAAAAGGTCATCTATGGTATACAACAATAACAACACTTATAAAAATCTGTTTTTGCTTTTTTCAGCTTCCTTTTAACAGCAGTTTTTAACAGAACATACCTTTTTATATTTTATCTACCTTTGAACTCAAAGTTCAGAGTCTATTTTTTTTAAATAAAGGCTTATTTCCGCTCAAGGAATTTTGAGGCTTTCACAAGACTATAAAGAAATTACTTGGGATTTAAAGATTTGCTTTGTACTCTACAGAGAGATGTGATAATCTACTAACAGGTTTTGAATTTTTACTAACTCATATATACTCTTTTATCTTTGTTCTTTCGGCGATTCGGGGTGATTTTAATATAGTACCTATAGATACATTAGGGGAACTCTGATTACCTAGTGGTAAAGAATTGCAGTGCTAACCCAAAGACACAGTTCCAATCCAACAGCAGCTCCACAGATAAAGAGGGATAGTCTTCTCCCATGTGAGGTATAGCCTGCTGGTGGGTAACCTTGAGTTGCTTCCGGCTCAGTGGCACAGAACAGCAACAGCAACATTTGGAGGAAGGATTTAAGTATTTTAATTTCCTGCAGAAAAAGACATCATACTTATTATCAGGAGGCGTTCGTCCATGGAGAAAGACATCACTGGTCACTCACTGTCAGTGAAAAAAAGAATGACCCATAATAAGGTATTGATACAGTAGCAAGCAGCATTGGACTCAAGCACAATATCAAAAGTGATGATTTCTCAAGAACAGAGAGTTGTGTTTCATTCTCTGGTGTATCAGCAAACTCAATTCATTGCCTCAGAGCTAAAATCAACTAATAGCTGACTCACCCACCATTGGGTTTCTAAGACTATATATAACTCCTACAGGAGAAGATTGCCCTTCTTTCTCCTTCAAAGCTTCTAGTGGATTCTCAACTGCCAGAGAGGCTTTGCCTTTGGGCTAGCACTGCAACTACTTAAAGCCTACACTGCCAGGAATTGTTATGCTTGAGTTGGCTACGACAGTTGGTTGTAGACTCCTTGAACAACAGACCTTGTCCTCTCCTGCAGCATCCTCATAATAATCCTTAATGCTCAAGTCCGTGGTTTTAGGCTCTTTGCCCATCCATCTTGTTGAAGGTCTTTCTCACTTTCACTGGCCCTCAACCTTCCCCAGCATGATGTCTTTTTTCTTGTATGTAAGGTCCCTATAAGTAGGAACCAGTTGGATGGCACCTAACAGTAAAGAACCAGAATGTAAGAGCTGAACTAGAATTGCTCTCTTCCTCCAAAGAGACATATGGACAACATTGCTTGGCTCATATTATCATTGGCTGATATTATTCAGGATGGAGGACATTACCTCTCAAGTCCCTTAAGATGTTACAATTCTAAAACAGGTTAAACAGATGAAATTATTCAACAGGAAAGGATTTAATTTGCATAAAATTTCCATCAAAATGAGAGACCAGTGGTATCAGCATCACTTGGGGACTTGTTAGAAATTGAAAATCCTGGTCCCTATCACAGACTTGCTGAATCAGAAACTGGGCTTAGGAGCCAGCAATCCATGTTTAACAAGCCCTCCAGGCGATTCTGATGCACACAGAATTTGAGAACCGTTGACCTCCTCAGCCATGTTTTGCACCTTAAGAAAGGCTTATTGTGTCATTGGTGGTTTTTAAACAACCATATTTGCATATCCTTCTTACTGCATATTTTTCATCTTATTCATATAGATTTCAAGCCTATCTCTTAGGCTTACATGACTAGCATTTTTGTTTGTCTTACAGGTGTGGGTAAATCTTCTCTAGTTCATCTCTTATGCCAAAATCAAGTGCTGGGAAATCCATCCTGGACTGTGGGCTGCTCAGTGGATGTCAGAGTATGTACCTCTTATCACTTTGTTTTTCACTGGTTTTATTGAATGGCAGTTTTAGCACCTAATATATGATTGAATAATTGTATACAAATAATCATATTGGGTAATAATATTAGATAACATTACTTTGTGCCATTGTGAGCTCTGGCTATCAAAGCTCTTTTTTAAAAAAAAAAACTTATTTTTTGACTCTGTACCGCTATTTTAAATCATTTACATCATGTTTGTTTGTTCTTTAAAATTAAAAAAAAAAAAACAAACCCAAAACAACCAAATCATCAAACAAACAACTGGAGATATAGTGCAAAAATTAAGGCATAGAGAAGTAAAGAAATTTGACCAAATTCACTAATATCATAAGAAACAGAGCCAAAATTTTAACTGAGTCTGTTCCAGAGATTTCTGTTCTAATTGTTATGGTTTTCAAGTTATCATAAGCTATGTGTAGAAATTACAGTGTCGAAGAATGTGTTTTTAGAGCCTTATGTCTGGGTTAGCTGTTCTGCTTCACAATTAAGAAACAATCTCAGTACATTAAATATCTCTAGTACATTAAATATATCTTCCCAGATGTTGTTTGTCTTTATTGATCCTAAGTAGTCCTGGGCAAGTCTTCTGTTTACTCACCTCTCAGTTGAAAAATAAAGAGAAAGGAGTTGTAGTTAACTACTTTGACAGTTACTTCTTTTCACTTCCTTGAAGCTGTTTATAAAATGGTGTTAATCGTGACAGTAGTAACATCAACAGGATCTAACTTTCCCAGAGCATTCTACTTCTCTTTTGGATTTGGTATTCTTCTGCAGTGGCTACAGAGAATTCACTGACCATGCTCACAGTTTAGTGGTTTATCAAGGAAACAACAATTAAGCGGGGGATCCAGATTGGAAGGCATATAGACAAAGTCATCTTCCATGCAGGGCAATTAATTTCCAGCTCTTTTTGGTCCCCTTGTGATAGACTTCCCTTAGCCTTGCTGTCTGTCTCCACAGACTGCCACAGGGTTCCTTCTGGGCCTGTCACCACTTACTGTCACTGGGTCCCTTGTAGTCTGTCATTGCCTTCAGTGTTACAGCTCTTTTAGGAGATTTTTTGGCCTCTTTCTTTTTTCTGTGTCTTGCTTCTTTGTGTCTGAAAAACTTCTGTGGAATTTAGTGCATATGTACACAAATGCTTTTGATCCTATAGCATGGCCTCCCTCTCTCTCAGCTAGGGGGACACAAAATGTCCCCTCTAAGTAACCCATAGATGTTTCATTTGCTTGATAGTGTATTTAGATAGTCCATTGACCAGTTCTTACAAAACTTGGGGGTTGGGGGCTCCTTCCTGAGATAGAAAACTAGAATGGAAGGCATCTTCTCATATTCTGTCTTAGAGTGACTGGTGGGTTTGAATCACCTGCTATGCACAGCCTTAGTTAGCATCACAGCTTGCTACAGACTTCAGCAACAGAGATAGCCAGTCCCTGAAAAGTGCCTGCTGGTTATGACAATCCGCAGCCCATGAGGGACAAACTGTATCAAACTACAAGTTGTTTATCGTTTACCCAGGAAATGTAAAGAAACAAGACATAAAGCCACATAAAGGAATTCACTTCATCATAACTGTTGTTCCATAAAGGAGCCCTGATAGCCTGGTGCCTAAGGTGCCAGGCTGCTAGCCAAAAGGTCGGCAGTTTAAATCCAGCAGTCAGTCAATGAGAAAAAGATAAGCAGTTTTCTTCCATAAAGAAGTACAGCTTTAGAAACCTAATGGAGTCAGAGTCAGGCTTAATCGATGACCCAGGGTTTGGTCTGGTTTTGTTCCATATTCTGACGGGGCTCTGCTGCTAATTATCAAATTGTCTCAGCCCAATTATTCCTTTTAGAGTAATTTCTTCTGTTTTAAAGACTTATTTTGATGTTCTGCAGTTTTGCTAACCTATATCAACTAGTCACTCTCTGTGTTGTTAAGTGCCATTGAGTCGTAGGCGACTCATAGCAACCTTATGAACGAAAGTCCTTGACACTTGCGTGTGTGACTTTCATAGGGTTTCCAGAGGCAAGCTGTTTACGGAAGTGGATGCCACTCCTGCTTTCTGTCTTCTAGCTAATGAAAATGTGAGTTTAAAGCTAAAGTATGTCTCAGGTATACTCAGGGTACTTGCATGTCAAACAGTGAGTAGGGAAGGCTGAAGAGGAATCGATGACTTTGCATTCTGTTTGCATTCCTGAATCCATGGACTACCAGTAGAACAAACAAATCAATTTCGGAGGAAGTGCAACCAGGCTACTTCTTTGAGGCAAAGATGGCGAAACTTCATCTCCCATACTTTGGGCATGTTGTCAGAAAGCATCTGTCCTTGGAAAAAAAGACATTAGATTGGGAAAAGTCAAGTGTCACCAAAAGAGAGAAAGTCCTTCAATGAGATAAATTGAGGAGGTGACTGCAACAATAGACATGAGGCTGTAAATAGTAGTGCACGAGAGGACAAGGTTTCCATTTGTTGTCAGTAAAGTTGCAATGACTTATAGTCAGCTCTGGTTATGTACCGCCATCAAGTCAGAACTGACTCATAGCTGACCTTCCAGCAGGTTTTCAGGGATAGTAAATCCCTTGGGAGAAGATTGCCTATCCTTCTCCCACAGAGCACCTGGTGGATTCAAACTGCCTGTCTTTGGATTAGCAGTATTAACTCCTTACCTCTGAGCCACCAAAATTACACCTTTATGACATCTAAAGATGACAACAGCTAACTAAAAATATTTTCGTATAGGTTAATCTGTTTCTTAATATAGCTGCTTCATTTTGGGGTTTTTTTCATTTAATATGTAGATATCTTTTCCATTTTTTAAAACATAGAAAAAATTTTCCATGTTCTCCTGTTTCAATAGGAATTCTATTTTTAATCTGAATCACTTTCAAAATACTTACTTTATGATTTCTTTTGGGTTATTCTATTATTTCTGGAGGTAAGTTAACTTTCTTGCTATCTTTCCTGACTTCTTGAATTGAAATTTATCTCCTTTATACTTTATAGTACTTTGTAGATGATCACATGTTCAACACTGTATTTTCATTTCTGTTGCTGCCACAGTCCTAAGGATATTATTAATGGTCAATTATGTGTTTTTAGGTTAATTGCTCAACCTAAAAAGTATCCATAATTTTGCTGAAAAAATCTCCCTGCAATCAAGTCATAACTACCTCAAACCTCATAAGGAGATTGCTCATCTTTATCCCAGTAACCACTGGTGGATTCGAACTGCCACAGAGGCAGGCACCACCCTTTGAGTTAGCAGAGCACCTCCCTACAGATTATAATGCCAGAGTTCCCGTACCATATTGTTGTTAGGTGCCATTGAGTGGACTGCATTCATAGTGACCCTGTGAACAAAAGACGGGAATCTTGCTCTATCCTGTGCCATCCTCACCGTCTCTGATATACTCAAGCCCACTGTTACAGTCAGCTTATCAATCCACCTCCCTATGGGTTTTCTTCTCTTTCTCTAACCCTCCACCTTTCCAAGTATAATGTCATTTTCCAAGAACTGGCCCCTTCTAACAAAATGTACAAAATAACCGAGACAATGTTTTACCATCCTTGCCTCTAAGAAGTACCTTGGTTGCATTTTTCTCCAAGATATGTTTGTTTATTCTTTTGGCAGTCCATGGGATAGTCAGTATTTTTCTCCAGTGTCACAACTCAAAAGACGATTATTTCTCGGTAATCCTTATTCATTATACAACTTTAGATGTATTGGAAGCAAATGGAAAGACCCTAATTTGAATCAGGTATAACTTGGTCTTAAATTCTCCTAGCATCTGAGTTTGGCACAGGCCTTAAAGGTACCAAGTCTTCTTGTAAATCTTTCATTCACTTGCTACTACCCACTACCCAAGGTTCTTGACAGAACACAAGTTTTTACTGCTTAACTGTCTCATCACCTAACTGGGCACTACATCAAGAATCCAGATTTCTTGAAGGAAACTACAATTTCATTTCTTTATCACTCATTCATCTACACCTGTCCCTTAAATGAGGAGAGAGAGACATCTGTTTTTCCTGGAGACCATGGCCTAGACCAGGGACACCTTAGTCTCCAGACTGACATCTTTGGACTTCAGCACTCTGGAGAGGTCCCTGACAGCAGACTTTCCTTAGATATCTGAAATGATTCACAGATTAAATCTTTTGGGTCTAAGCTTTTCTTAGTGGGAAGTTTTGTGTTTGTTTGTTTGTTTGTTTGTTTGTTTGAAAGGAACCTAAAGAAGTTTTATTAAGGGGTCTCTCAGGCGGGATTCCTTGTTCTGCAGACAGAGAAACAGGCAGAGGGATTGTTGTTGTTGTTGTTATGTGCCATTGAGTTGCTTGTGACTCATAGCAACCCTATGTACAACAGCCCTAAACTCTGCTCTGTCCTGTGCCAAACACACTGTCTCCAATACACCCATCCCAATAACCCTAGTTGCTGTCAGTCCACCTCATAGAGGGTCTTCCTCTCCTGCGCTGTCCCTCCACCCTCCCATGCAAGATATTCCTCTCCAAGGACCTATCCCTCCTTACAACATGTCGAAAGTATGTCAGACGAAGCCTCAAAATCCTTGCCTCCAAGGAGCCACCTGGTTTAACCCTCCCCAAGATGAACCTGTTTGTTTTCTTAGTAGTCCGTTAGTAGTACATTCAATACTCTTCTCCAGCACCACAGCTTAAAGGCATCAGTTCTCCTTCTATCCTCCCTAGTCATTGTCCAACTCTCTGATGCATAACAAGTGATTGTAAAGACATGGCCTATATTAGACTCACCTTAGTCTCCAGAGTGACACCATTGCTCTTAAGTACTTTGGAGAGGTCCCTAACAGCAGACTTTCCCATTGCAATACGCCTTTTAATTTCCTGGCTGCTGTTGCCAAGAGTGTTGACTGTGGAGCCAAGCAAACGAAAGATGTGAACAATCTCAGTCTCTTCACCATCCATCCTGATGCTGCCAATTTGTCCAGTGGTGAGAATCTTTGTCTTCTTGACA